AAAGGACTTGGCGGTTGAATAAACCAAAAGTTCCTTTACCCCCACAGTGGAGATTTCGGCCTCAGATTACGTGCTTGGCTTTAAGATGAGCTCATCCTCTACGACTTCTTTTTCTTTTCTCTGTTCTTTCAGTAAGAGTATAAACATTTAGCAGATGGTGTGATACGCATGGCAGAGGGGGAATAAGTAATTCATCCTACTAGTGACTTAGATCCGGTACTGTACAAATCTCATTGAAAACAGAAATCACTAGCGCATTCGACCTGTCAGATTCTTTGAAACCTTTTCAGAAAACCAAACAAATTAAATTGGACCACTTGCGACTGTCAACTCAAGCCATAAATATAAGCCATGCCGGTTGCTGTCAGTTACGCAAAATCGCGTTAGAACCTTTCTCCCACCCACCCCCCACCCCCCAACCCCTTGGAGGAAGCCTTGCAGCAAGCGACGATGTTCTCAGGTCGGAACCGCTGATTACTGCGCCCCCGACATATGTACGGTCAAGAAAATACGGATTACGGTGAATCATCAGAATCCAAATTGAGAGGCGTCAATGCACCGAACATGGTTGAAAAGGATAAGTTACATAAACGAGCATCACATTACATCTCCGCGTAACAGGGTATATCGCGCGCCGGTCCGTCCTTTACTTCCGGGCATTCTCCTCGTCCAAATTCACGCCACTCGATTCGGTATACTTGCTCTGTGGCAGGTTGTTCAACTCGTCTTCCCTCCGATCCAGCTTATAGTTGCTCAACCAGAATCCAATGGCTCCGATAAAGGCCAGGATCGTCACCACCATATAGTTATACACCAGCAGGGGATCCTTCGACAAGCCAACGAAGGCCTGGCCGATGGCCGAGGAGAAGGCGTTCATGAAGAGCGCGACGGCCTGCACGATCGATCGCATGTTCTTGGGAGCCTTGGTGAAGGCATACTCGAGGGAGGTGATGGAGGCAAAGATCTCCGAAATACCACCGAGGATGTAGATAATCGCCTGGGTCCAGACGGAGATGGGCGAATACTTTCCATATTCATCGAGACAGTAGTTGGCCTCTTTGCCGCAGGGGCCTTTCACGTAAATGTAGTGTTGGATCACCGTGGCGGCGATCATGGAGCAGCCGGCGACCACAAACCCACACGTGATTCTCTTAATGGGCGTAAAGTTGAATCCCAGGTGGCGCAGGCCCGGGTAGATGACTCGATCAAAAATAGGAATGCAAATGATGAGGGCAAGAGGGTTGAGGTTATTGATGATGTCGTTGGGGACGCCACCGAGGTGCATGGTGGCCGCTTGGGATGTCAGGTTGTTCAACATCTGGTTGTAGGCGAGCCCTGGGAAAAGTCTGCATTAGTACGGGGGAAGAAAGAGACGATGAGAGAAGACATACAGAACAGAGGGTACCACAGGAACACTTTGCACGCCTTCAGCCCACGAGCAACTTCGTCGACCCATTCGTCGTCGAAAGTCATCCACTGAGGTCGATTAGGGCCCAAAGCACTTGGCTTGACTGGCTCCCAGAATGGCTTGTCATTACGTTTGAACCTGGTTTGTCAGTATACCTTCAGCCAGACGGGACCCGTTGGGACACCTACAGCCGAACCGGGTTCAACGACCACCGCCCCTTCATCGCCAGTTTCCAGAGTCGGAACGCCTGCCCGTAGACGGAGCCTTGTGGCTGCACCCGGTAGTACTTATTCCGGCAGAAGAACAGCACCGTCGGGCACCACAGAAACAAGCATGTCGGGAGAAAGTACGACAGCCAAAACCCAACATATCTCTCGGCATAGACCATGCTCACCTGGCCGGTGATGGAACCGATGTTGACAGTCAAGTAGTAGTACAGGTAGATGCGCTGGACGGTGATGGCTGGATCCACGATTACCCGCTCCCCGGAAGAAAGGGTCTTGATATATGGATATTCCTCACGATATTGCTCGGCGATGAGAGGCGAAATGTTCGATCTGATTTGCATCAGTATATAGAGACTCGGGGTGTGACGAGGAGGATTGGGGGAGGCCTTACTTGAAACCGCCCGTTCCCATGCCCATGATGATCAGACCGATCGAAAAACAGGCGATCGCGCCCTGGGGATGGGAGATCACGTTGGGAATGGCGGAGATGACCAGAATCAAATGGCCGAGCAAAGCGGCCGCGATGGAGTACATGATGGTGCGGAATCGACCCCAGTATTGATCGGCCAGGAATGCTCCGAACGTGGGCATGATGTAGGACCAGAAGGAATTGACTAGAGACGGTCAGGACCCACTCCTTCCATCGATCACGGACATGCGACTTACACAAGGTCAGACCAGTGGAGGCCTGTTGGCCCATGTTCAGTGCTCCCGGCACTCGTGAATTATCATACGTAGCACCAGTGGAGGAGCCTTCCGGCATGGGACGCTGGATAAAGTTGACGACTAATGCATGTCAGCAAGGGATTTTCTGGGATAACGTGGCAGCGCGGAGAGACACACAAACGGCCGTAGTTCCATAGTAGGAGAATCGCTCGCACAGTTCCACAAACGCTACGGTGTATGCGGTCCATGGGATTTGTCCACACACTCGACGCAGGGTTTTCAGTTCCTCGTCGGTTGGATAGGTCTTTTGAAGATCGGTATCATCGGTGGTTGCGCCAACAATTTGGGTCGCCGGGACTTCTTCTATACTCGGCGTGATGGCCAAGTCCTTATCAATGGAGGAGGCCTTTTTTTCATTCAGATGGGCATCATGAAGGTTGGCCGTCGCTTTGGCGACCTCGACCGTCTCCGAGGGGTCGGAGGGGTTCATGTTGTAGAGTCGAGTCACACGTACAGACAAAACGAACACGAAGGGGGAAGGGTGTGTATGTGTGTATCTCTGACTCGTTGGTTCGTGGTAGAAAAGAAGGGAATGGAAGACGGGGAGAAGATCTGGGCTTTTAATACATTTGGTGGTTCATGTGGGACGAGAATTAGGATTTGGAGGAAGGAGGGGCGAGGGAAATGTGGAAGTAAGAGTGAGAGGGGAAATCAAGTGTCATGTCAAACAAAAGTTACTCAAAATAATAATAATAATTATAATAATAAAAGGGAAAAATAGAAAAAAAGGCAATTGGGATGGTTTATCGCGTGCCATGACCCATGCCGGTCCAATTGCCACTCGTGGTTTAGATTACAACTGCTACTACTACTACTACTACTACTACTACTACTACTACTACTACTACTGCTGCTACTATAGAATCTACCTACATCCATACTTCCCTACCAGTCGTCCAGTATGGATCGAACTAAGTTATTAGCTATACGATCTAAGGCCAGCCGCGGAGGATTATCTCAAACCGGTCACTGGTCCTCCCCCAACATAAGACCAACCCGTTGATAACCGGAACAATCTCCAGTGGCCTTATGCTAGATGAATGAACCTTGATCATTGAATATGTGACTGGACGAGAAATCCAATGGTCGTCTTGGCTCTGGCACTTAAGTTCGGAACCAGCCGACCGATAGATAGCGAACTGAATGAAAATTACGCGAAGATAAGCGGACATGTCTGAGCGCTGAGAAAAGAAGCACAAGCGGAGTATAATTCACCAGTCGCGGGAATGAACCATGGCTTGGCCGATGTCTTGGCTGGCAGGTTGGAGTGCAACCTCAGGCCCTTGGCACACCAATCATCCATGGTTGTTCCAGCTCCTATCTCACCCAAATCTCTCTAGATTAGTAGTACGAGGAGAGTATAGTAATTGAAAACTGGGATGAAAGGTGGTGGTGTGTTGTTTTTTGCCATGCGACTGAGTCAGCCACACCGGGTGCGGTTTTACCTTTTCCGTGCGTTTACCCCGGACCATCAGGCTTAAACTCGACCACGCGATGTTACCTTCCTAGAAGCCTAATCCTGACCATTCCAGTCAATCAGAGGAAAGAGAATCATTCTGGATTTCTATTCTGGATAACCGTGAACTTTTGGTACTTACTATCTAGTACTACTATACTAACACTAACCCGTCTATGGCAGGTAGCTAGCTAGGTACGTCCTACTCCGTACTAGTAGCTACCCGACCTTTTGATGGAGCCACATCCCCCCCCGGGCCACATGATTGGAAATGAACTTGGATTACACCATTTTCTCCCTTGATCTCGTTTGGGATCTCGCTTCTCACCTCCGACCCCACCCGTCGGATTCCCGAAATTAGCCATTCCTACCTTCTCTCGGCATGATCTTGGCAGGGAAGAAAACATGTCAAAAAGAAACCCTGACCGTTAATGCCATACAAAACTCGGCAACATGGATATCATGAATATGGGATCACCATTGAGGTTCAGATAAAGTCAAAAGATAGACTACTGGGGTGCTTCTCCATCCCTGTCCATGTCGGCGGTTCTCATTATTAACAGAATGCGACCGGGAATCTAATCTAATCATTTCCCCAGACTGAAGGGCCGCTTATTATGTAAAAACAATCCCCAGTGACAGGAACCATCTTTTTTGCCCCCCAAGAACCCAAGAAGCTCTCATCGGTTTATTAGGTAACGGAAATGAGATCTGATATAACTAGTAAGTAGTTTGGTACGAGTACTTAGTATACAGATATTCTTTAAGTACTCCGTACTAGGATAAACCTCGGCATCGTTGCCACCATGTGTTCTCCTCCTTTTTCTTTTGTTGTGCCCTCGACCGGTCTTGCCGACCTTTTTTGTAGGACGGACACACCACCATCCGACTAAAAGAAACTCTCTTGGCCATGCTTAGCCATATCTTCTTCCTCCCAGTGGAAGTGGAGCCTATCCCATTGGGTGGTTGATTTGGTGTCACTGATCGCTCACCAATGAGACCGAGTGCATTAGTACACCGTACGGGTCCTTGCTTCAAGGGGCGCTCAGCGCGTGGCGCTTGGATACATAAAGAGAACGATAAGGTTCGGTCTCGCCGGTTCTTTGTTTTTTTGTTCGAGTCCCTGGAAGTCCGGTCTTCTGTATGTAACGTTTCGATGAACTTTGTTGGGGTAGTCATGCGGGGGGTTGCGGGGAAATATCCTTTTTTTTTCTCTGAGCATACCCTGGTCATGCAATAGACCATTTAATATACGGCGGATGTATGTATGTACATACCCTTCCAACAAACGCAACCTAACGGCCCCAACTTCGATCCCGCAATGGTCACCACATTCAACGTCAATCCTCGTATTTCTTCTCTATTGCATTTACCTAATGACGTTGTATCCATCAATGTCCCCTACGATAGGTTCCTCTAATTCTCAGTCCTCTCAGAGTCCAGCTACTGACACTACGCATCATGATCAATAACGTGTTCTCCACAGTCTCAACATCTTTCTCGTCGGTGAGATATACGCATCCGTTATGACCGACAGACGCTATATGACTGGTGCCCGCTCGATCGGCATTCATGGATCCTTAAGTGGAGATACGTCTCGTCAATCATGGTTATGAGATTAGAATGATCAACCATCCAGTCACTGGCGAGGGTGAGTGAATCCAGGCCTCTTTCTAGACTGACTGCGACTCTCCATGGTTGGTCACGTGATGCCGCTACGAATGTGCGGCAAAGCAAACATTGATCACTTTGAGGCATAGCAGGGCATCTTCGCGATAAAAATCGAACCAAGTCGAAAGGGATTCTGCGAAGAACGGGACAGATACGTAAGATAGGCCAACCCCGAAGGGTAAAAAAAGATTTGACCGACGCAGGGATCGAACCTGCAATCTCTTGATTCGTAGTCAAGCGCCTTGCCATTGGGCCAGCCGGCCTGATTCTTGATAGATTCTGTGAAATATTCTTATAAAGCAAAAATATTGTCCTGCTACGTATCGCCATACAAATCACAATTCGGTATCCATTGGTTCCTTTTTTTTTTTTGTTTTTTTTTTAAAGAAAAAAAAGAAAAATTAAAATTAAAAAATAAATTGTTGCGTAGATATTCTTAACACTATGTAGGTATATCACTACACGTTGTTCTGAAACTTGGAAAGTCCCAATGATGGTAGTAAGTCTGAACCGGGTAGTCGGAAATATATATCTTTGAGCAACAAAATACCTACCTTAAAATCAGTCTAGAGTCGATTTAACTAAATATATATCAATTGTCACATCGGAGTGTCTTGATGTGACAATCGCCCCCATTATTTCATAATGGTGCATGTCGTCAGGTGAGGAATCGATTGGTTAAACCTCGTTGTAAATGATACCCAGATAACCGTTTCCCAGGAGCCATGAAGATAAAAGCAAGCATCAATCTCAAGGACTGAAGAGTGTCTGTGACTACCGACAGCTGCTCTTTCAAAATGTTCTATTCAACTTCCTCGAACCTTGTCCTGTAAGCATATTTCTTCTGCCGACATGTCGACCGTAAGGCAGAGCTGATGGCTTTCCTCGAACCGATCAATGTATAAGGTGCATGATGACCTCTGCTAGCTTCGAAGGAACATATAGGCAGCTAAATGCAACACAGGAAGCTTCTTTTTACTCTAACATAGCTTCCTGCCTCTGCTCCCTTTACGTAGAGTAGTTGTAGCTCATGATATTCAATTGTAATCTACCATACATAGCAGCAACAAACTAGCAGCAACATTAAATAGTTTGGAGTTAGGTACTGCCGAAGCTCCAGCAAAATGGTTAGACTTAAGAGTATCGGGGGATCGCCTTCCTGCCTCTATGTTAATTGTTGACGAAGCCAGCACAAGGCGACGTTAACGATGGAGAATCTATTCTTCGTGTTTCTGAGATACGGTAACCGAGTTTCTCCATCTGCCATTAGAAACCAGTACACCCCCCACTGGATGTCGGACTGGAATCAGTCGAATAGTTTCCCTCCCATAACGTGGTCGCCGTAGACGGAACTAAGGAATCAACTTAAAAGAGTATGGATGTTAAGGTAAATGTTGGGCTTGTATAGGTATCTATGCGGTCTTTTTTGTCAAGTGAAGGTAGATTGAGTCGAGTCGATCCTTGCATTTTTCAACCATGACTAAAATAGAAGACCTGGCGTCCAGGAAGCAAAAGAGGTTATATATAGAGAGAACTGAATCATAGCCGAGGATGCAGGGATGCACGGAATAACTCCATGCCGGAGAAGAAATGCGGGGAAAAAAGTCAGTGCTCTTCATTTACCCCAGGTCTTTGCCGCATTAGCGGTCCTTGTGGAGATCGCATATCCATTAATAAGAGAAATGCCGATGATAGGCTGCATATCGCCTCTTCTGGCCTTATCCACGAATCACCGATGGTAGAAAGGCCGAGTTGGGAAGCTTTATCAGTTTTAGAGCGTCCGTCGCGTCGGATGGGCGATAAGAGTCCGTTTCGTTCCGTCGCTTCTCCTCACTCTCTGCATCATGGATATGCTACTATCGTGGCTTCACTACTGCCGCCATGAATTCCACTGGTCGTGTATGCGCGCGATGCGCAAAGATTGTACGTTGAATACCAAAACTCAGCTAGTGTGATCGCCGCTGACAGTCAATAGAAACAGCGCTGTGACGGGGACGCCCCCTGTTCCCGCTGTGCTCGTATGTGTATCGCACTTCCAATAGAGGATGACTGAGCTGATTTGCCCTCCTCTTAGGCCTGGGACATATCTGCGAACCTCAACGACCGGGCGGAAAATTGGACCCCAAAACCATAGCCCATCGACGCCCTCGAGCGTCCCGATCACGCGGAGGTTGCCTGTCCTGCAAGGCAAGGTAAAACAACCTATGCCGAGCAACAGCTACAATGTATTAGCGCGGTTATTAACTTCAGCAGGAAGAAGAAATGCGACGAGATCCACCCTCGATGCAGTGATTGCCGCCGCTTAAACCTCCCCTGTCAATGGAAAGCCTCCCCGTCATTCTCCAGCTCCACCGACCCGTCGCTTCCCCCTTCTTCCGAAAGCAGTCTATCTCTAGCAACCCCAGATCCGATCTCCCCTTCCGATCAAGCTCTCGATGATCCGATAGGAAGCTTATCCCCATGGCTGGCTGTGGAAGACATCGTCATGCCCGTCGCATCACCCTGCGGATCCGCCAACCCTTATCTGCACAATGACGAAGAGCGCTCGCTGTTCAATCACTATCTACACATCGTAGCGCGCTCACTGTCGCGGTCCGGTGATCCCAACGGAAATCCCTTTCTGTCGATCTTGTTACCGATGGCAGCCAGCTCCGACACAGTGACTAGTGTAATTCTAGGCCTGAGTGGTTGCCATTGGAAGCGTGTCTACCCGGGCATTTGGAATCGCGCATTAGCGCGCCAGGGAAAAGGTATGTCTGATACCGCTATCAGGGTTCAGGGAAGCTAATCCCAAAAAGCATTGGCACAAGTAAAACAACTTCTATCAACGGCAGGCGGCCAATCCACGCTTGAGGCCTGCACAACGGTGCTACTACTCTGCCTAACGGAGCTATGCGATGGCGGTTCTCATGCATGGGAGTGGCATCTGAAGGCAGCCAGTGCACTCCTCGCGTCAGTGGGAGACCAATCCCTTGAATGGACATCGGAGGGGAAGTTCTGCCTCCAGCTGTTCCGATATCTGGACTCCATGTCGACAATATCCCGCTGCAAGCCACCGCTACTGCGAGAGGATGCGAAGCTCACTGATCTTACCGCGGAGAAGTCCATTTGCAGTTCCTCATCTGGCCCCGTAGATGCCGTCTCTGGGATGGCCCCAGCGTTACTTGAACTTCTCGGTATGGTAAACTTACTCGCGGCACATCGTAGCCGGCGCGTTGATGAACTCTCCGAGCTGGGGTTTCGAACTGCTGCCTCCCATGTTCAGTCTCAGTTGGATTCGTGGAGAGCAGAATATGACAGCGCCGCGGTTACGGACCACGAGTCGGATCGAGTTACTACAGCATTCGAATGGGCGGTCCGACTACGCCTCCATCAGGTTGTTGATGGGTATGATCCACACCACGAGATGGTGGAAGCCGCGGTTTCTCCGATTCTCAATGCTGTGATGACCATTCCATATGGTAGTCCTGTAGAGGGATGCTTACTTTTCCCGCTGGTAATTGCTGGGGCTAGTACCACAGAAGTTGAGAGACAGATGTTGGTCAAAGAAAGATTGATGGTTATGGAGAATACTTTAGGATTTGGACATATCTCGCACGCCCGACAGTTACTGGAGACTGTCTGGGCGGATGAGGCTGATAGGAATTGGGCAAGGGTGAGGTATAGCCTGTTCCCCGGGATGGTATTTGTATGAAATGTCGTATAACCAACGAAGTGATGAGATGGAAATCATATATTGTAAATGGTAAATACATAAAGACGTTCAAATCATACATCTACTGTGCAATCGCAGCGACTAGCTCATCCAAATGCTTTCGCATATCGTATCCACAAACTTCCTCAATCGTCAACTTCCCAGGCCGATCTGCCGAAGAACTCCATCCAATGCGCTCACTGAGATCTTCTCGAGCTCTGAAACTCGCTTCTTGCACGCGGGTTGCTCTCGGCTTGCGCAGCTTTTCGTATAAGCTAAGTCCTTCGGCGACACTGTATTGTTCGCGGAATGTGCGGTGGAAAACCAGGCCTAAAGCGCCGGCATCTTCGAAAGCCATACAAGACCCTTGGGATTGGTCCGGCATCATCGGATGGGCTATTTCTTAGTATAATCGAATCTTCCATCAAGAGGAGGGAAAAAACATACCAGCATCACCCAGAAGACAAACCTTGCCCTTCACCCAGTACGGGTAGGGATCATGCCGATACACTACATCGTTAGCACAGTCGTCTTGAGTAGAAAGAGAATCGAATACATACATCGCCACATTTTTATATCCTCCGCATTTAACATCAACTTCTTCATCCTGGGATCCAAGGCGGGGAACGTGTCCACCAGTTGTTGGGGTGTAGCGGAGATATTCCATCCATCTTCACGGAGCTCATTATATGCGGCCGGGTAGAAGCAGTAGCAGCTTACGACCTCACCATTGCTACAGGGAGACATGACAATCTTGTCGATGCCAAACCCGCCCCAATACTCGATTGCTTCGTTAGAGATATAATCGTCAAGCCCGAGGGCGCGCAGTTTATCGGCACCGATGATGCAGCGGTAGCAACATGAGGTGGACATTGTAAAATTGGGGGTTATTCCGATTAGATTACGAGAGGAAGACTTTCTAATTTAGTACCCTGTCAATGACTGGATTCTTGGGGCAAGAAGACGTACGCGAATACCATCAGCAGCGACGATCAGGTCGGCTGTTGCTGAAGCGCCGTTTTCAAATTGGATGATACCTGCTTCTGCGTCAAGAGCAGTGGCTTTGTGATTCACTTCGAGAGTACACTTGGGTCCTTCACCGGGCTCTTCGAAGGCTGACTTGAGAAGTTCTTTGTGGATATCAATGCGATGGAAGTTGTTGTAATCCTTTTTTTGTTGTAACTTATCAGCAAAGCAACCTTTTCGAATATGGAAGGAAGACATACAGTCCCAAACTTCGACTTATAGTCTCCTAATCCGTACTCGCTTTTTACCTCTCCAGTAGACCAATCATGCATAATCAGCCTTTTCAAAATCACCTGGGATCGTTAGCATTGCCTCACCCAAGAAGAGAAGATGATCGTACCGGCTTTGCGGCTTTGACGTCCACGCCCCATTGCTCGAGAAATCTTGATCCGTTGGAGGCAGCACTCAGTGAGGCTCCCACCTCACCTGCGAAATCGTATCGTTCATACACGGTCACGGAATGTCCTTGACGCCGGAGGGCCACTGCAGCCGAGAGGCCGCCAAGACCAGCGCCAATAATGGCAATGTTCAGAGGAGAGTCA